GGGGTTGGAAGGCGGGAGTGAATTGTGGGGCGTAAGTAGAACGGGAGGGGCAGGGGTAGGTTGATGAGGGCATATTACCGGGGCTGCGCCGGGCGAGGCGTGGAGGGGTTGCGGAGGGAAAGTTTCAGTATTCAGCGTAATCCGAAGTGATTTCCGAAGGTCTGCCTCCGCCTCCGCCGTTGATTTGAGGGGGGGGGGGTCGCCTTTTATAGTCCATGCATGAGAGTCAACAGCCTTTAGAATTGGAGTATTCCAAAAGAAACACGCTGATCATTCAAACCTCCTTAAACTGAGAACTTATGAAAAAATTTCGCAGGCGCCGCCAGTAAAATATTATGAAATAAGGATTATACAAAATGTTTTATTGATTGATGATATGACCTATATGGCCTACGTTTGATTGTACTAGTTGCACGACCTCTAGGCCCTGGCCGCTTGTGTGTGATTTTCCTATCGTTACATTCTCCGTTTGCGAATGTTTCTCCACGCTTTGCATGAAAAGAGGTTGGTCAGAAATAGGAGAGCTGGCAGGTGAAGTGCTTCCAGCGATGCTACTACGACACCTCTCTCTCTCTCTCTCTCTCTCTCTCTCTCTCTCTCTCTCTCTCTCTCGTAGCTGACCCTCTCTAAACGGCAATAAATAAGGGGTTTCGCGTCTGCCTGTATATTTATTAGAGGTCGGTAAATCACGCTCGCAGACCGCCTTGCAAATCTTTCTCACCGCCGCTTCCAACATTGAGGTCAAGGTTGGGGGATTTCCGAAATTGGGGCGCCACCCCAGAGGACGGGAGGAAACACAATGGGAAGGCCGGGGAAGTAGGACTGTGTGTAAAGTTTAAAAATGTAAACAGAACATTGACAGTCACGGCGTGGCAAATACGGTTGAAAGAGATGTTGCCTTTTCGTAAAGCAGTATGACGTAAAGCATCCTGACTGCGAAAGTTTGGCATCGGCATCACATGTGGTTGGAAAGAGGCAGTGCACTTAAACATCTGCTTAGCTGCGTAGGCAACTCCGTCACTGACTCGGCGCCTGCGAGACATTGGATAGGCACTCCCGCTGTACCCGCGTGCACTGCATGCAAGATGTTGCCTACTCGTCAGGCGCTGTGGGAGAGCTTGCCTAGGCTGAACTTGACACTTTCATAATGGCGAACGACGGACGCGTACTTTCTTGGTGATCCCTTAAACATGACTCAAAATAGAAATGTTAAAGGTCCCAAAGACAATGGCATGCAAAGGAGGCCAATCCGGCTTCTGTGTGCGCGCGCACACCGACACAAACTCTACCACGCTTGGCCGTCCTTGGCTAGTAGCTGAACCCGTGACCCGGCTGGTCCCTCGTGCCTGCTCCCCGTGCTCGCTCCCCCACCTTACCCGCCGAGCTGACTCTGCTGACCCCAGCGGGCGCCTGGCGCGGCAGGGGCAGCTTTTCGCGAATGAGACATTGTGCCAAAATGATATTTTCTCCCCCCTCGCCACAATAATTTTACGCGCGCTCACGTGCGCACCCTCACCCTCCCACGCTCCGGCGCCCGACCCCTGCCCACACACGCGCTCACACACACACACACACACACACACACACACACACACGACATTAATTACTGATTGCTGCACCTTGTGGGGCCGACCGCGCCACCCCCGGCTAACTTCCTTCGGACAGGAGAGCGTCATTTCTTTTCCGAGGTCGGGTCGTCCCCTACAGCCATCTATCTATCTACCTGTCCATCCATCCATCTATCTATACACATATATCGACGATACGAGGGGGCAATAACTCCGGGAATCATGTGTACACCTGCCTGGGAATCACTGGATAAAAATCAGTCAAAATCAACAGAAATCGCTTAAAATAAGCGGGAGACTAGTGGAATTCGTACAAATTAGTCAAAATAACGTAAAAATTGGGCGAAATTAGCGTTTCCTACTACTAGAAAACCTAAGGAATGAACATAAGAGGACGGGAATCACTGGGAATCAAGGTTTTCGGGAATCATGTGTACACATTTAAAGGTAGTTATTGCCCCCTCGCGACGATATATGGTGACCTCCCCGTGCTGTCTTATTCTTCTTCGTTGTGTTGGCTCGTATCACGACAATTTACTCCGAGGAAGAGAGGGGGGGGGTGTGCCGACGTTATTTGCTGTCATTGGGAAGCTACGTAAAACGACAGGGACTAAGTAAGTGGGCTTTGGGCGGCTTGGAGAGTGGGAGAGAAATACTAAGAATGACGCTTTCGGCGATCTCTCCCTCTCTCTCCCTCCCCCTCTTCCCCCCCTCTCTCTCCCTCCCCCTCTCTCCCTCCCCCTCTCTCCCTCCCCCTCTCGCTCGCTCCTGAGTTAGCGTGCGTGTGTACACGCGCGAGCGTGTTTGTGTGCAGTAGAAGACACTACGTCCCACTCGGGCGCTATTTCCGCACGTACTTGAGTTGTGCGAATAAACCCTGGCCTTGTCCTTGGGAGTCCCCCCCCCCCACCACAACCACTCTCTCCCTTCCCGTGCCTAGCGAAGGGGTTGTTCGCTTCCCCTTGTCCCCTCCCTGTTTTTACTCTGCCGTAATTCTACGTTGGGGTACCATAAAGGCGGCCCCTAGGCCAATCCGACGTGTCGCCACGCAAAAATTTTAACAAGTTTAATTAGAAAGTGTCTCGCGACCCTAAAAGCCTCTTGCTCTTCGTTTGACTGCGTCTCTTGTAGGGTTTTAGAGGCAAGGGGGGCGGGGGGGCCATTATCAAAGTTTTATTGCCGGTTCAAAACCCTTACGGTTGCCTCCCTACACCCTTGCGCCCCCCCCTCCCTTTGGGGCCGGGTCGTCGCCCTCCTGAGGATTGCAAATTTAAGGCAATTAGGGTGCCGGGGGGTCGCCGCCGGGACATCCTGAGGGAAGGCGGATTGGCCGGGGAGGGAGGGGAGGACATCCTAAGGGAGTGGCGCGGCGGGGAAGCGAAACTTGTGAGGAGCAGCCGGGCGGCGTGGCGGGGCGTGGCGGGGGCCGTGCCGCCCCGTGCGCCCGGGCGGGGTCGCATTCACGACGCGATGGATGTGGCCCCCGCACCCCACGTGGTCTCGGAGAACTTCTTCATTAGGCCGCCCGCGGGACGGAGGCTGGTGGGGGCCTAACGACAGAGGTAGGCGTGGCGGGCGTCGCTCTGCGGAGAGAAAAAAAATAAAATAAAAATAATTAAAGAAGAAAACGATTGTGACTTTGTCAAACCAAAAATGTTTGCTTCAGTCCTTTATTATTGAGTAAATTTACGCCGCCGGATCGGAGTAGTCCGACTGACGACAACCGACTCAGTAACTGCAAAACAAAACTGTGTTGCTGTCGATCGTAAGCCGAATCGAACGTTCAGATCCAAAACAGCGCGTGCCCTCTGTATTTTTATCTCCCTCTCGGCCCTCTGCGCGCCGCCTAATGGAAGAAGGCGGCCTTTTGCTGGGAATTTGTAAATGGCAGGAAGGGACCGCATTCCCTGTCCCTCCCACTCCTCCCTCCTCCCCCTCCATCCTCCTTCCCCTTCCCCTCCATCCTCCTTCCCCTTCCCCTCTCTCCCTCCCCCTCTCTCCCTCCCCCTCTC